TTTGAGATGGAGTCTCGCTCTGTCACCCAGTCTGGAGTGAAGTGGTGCAATCTCGGCTCACTGCAGCCTCCGCCTCCCAGGTTCAAGCAGTTCTTCTGCCTCAGCCTCCCTTGTAGCTGGGATTACAGGCACCTGCCACTACAATAGCAAATTTTTGTATTTTTAGGAGAGAGGGGCTTTCGTCATGTTGGCCAGGCTGGTCTTGAACTCCTGACTTCAAGTAATCCTCCTGCCTTGGTCTCCCAAAGTGCTGGGATTACAAGCGTGAGCCACCGTGCCCGGCCGTCAGAACTCCATTGATGATGTCAAATAAGAATAGTGAAGATGATGAGATTTTCAGTAATAGGGACTACCATGCATTGGGTGCTTGTGCCATGCCAGGTGCTTGGCAGACATCCTCTAGTTGAAATTTCATGGCTACTCCATGAAGAAAAGCAATCACCCCCATTTTAGGGCTCGGAGAGCACAATCCACTCCCTAAGGGTACACAGGAGGCCAAATGCCACACTGAGATCTGCGTTCACTATAAGAAGTCCTACTGGCCCAAATCACTTCGCCACATCCAATCCAGTGAATTCTCCCAGCTCCTGTTCGTTTATTCATTCATTTATTTATTTGAGATGGAGTCTCGACCTTTCACCCAGGCTGGAGTGCAGTGACGCGATCTTGACTCATTGAAGCCTTTGTCTCCTGGGTTCAAGCAAATCTCGTGCCTCAGCCTCTCGAGTAGCTGGGATTACAAACAGGCACCACCACGCCCAGCTAATTTTTGTATTTTGAGTAGAGAGGGTCTCACCATGTTGTCCCAGCTGGTCTCAAACTTCTGGCCTCAAGTGATCTGCCTGCCTCAGCCTCCCAAAGTGCTGGGATGACAGGCGTGAGCCAGTGTGCCCTGCCCCCTCCCATTCATTGTTTAATCCCGTTTTTGGTGCCACCTTTGTGTCTTGGAACTTTTTTTGCCAGAGAAAGGTCCTGGAAGCTCCAAGTGGGGCCCTCTCACTCCTGGACTTGTTTTCCACCCTCTGCAATGACCTCGTCAACTCAGCCCAGGGATTCGTCTCCTCCACCTGGACATATTACTTGCAGACTGACAATGGGAAGGTAGTGGTGTTTCAGGTGAGACCCCCGACAGGGGCCATACCGGAGTGGCAGATGGGCGGGCAGGATGAGATGCTGTGATGCATTGGCTCTTGGCTCATGAGATGTAAAGTCCACAGTGGATGAGCTTCAGGCACAGCTGGATCCAGTGGCTCAGTGTCTCACTCCATGCCTTGACTGCTTTCTTCCGTCGTGGCTTCATTCCCAGGCATTTACTTCCTCTTGGCAGTAAGGTGGATGTCAGAGGCTCTAGGTTACAACTCCTCTGGTTTTTTTTTTTAGATGGAGTCTCACTCTTGTTGCCCAGGCTGGAGTGCAGTGGTGTGATCTCAGCTCACTGTAACCTCCGCCTCCCGGGTTCAAGCGATTCTCCTGCCTCAGCCTCCCAAGTAGCTGGGATTACAGGCATGCACCATCACGCCCAGCTGATTTTTGTATTTTTAGTAGAGACAGGGCTTTGCTGTGTTGGCCAGGCTGGTCTTGATCTCCTGACCTCAGGTGATCAACCCGCCTTGGCTTCCCAAAGTGCTGGGATTAAAGGCATGAGCCACTGCGCCCGGCCCCCTCTGAGATTTTTTTTTTTTTTTTTTTCTGAGATGGAGCCTTGCTCTGTTGCTCAGGCTGGAGTACAGTGTCACAATCTCAGCTCATTACAACCTCCACCTCCCAGATTCAAGCGATTCTCCTGCCTCAGCCTCCCAAGTAGCTGGGACTACAGCTGTGTGCCACCATGCCTGGCTAATTTTTGTATTTTCAGTAGAGACGGCGTTTCACCATGTTACCCAGGCTGGTCTCAAACTCCTGACCTCAGGCCATCCCCCTGCCTCAGCCTCCCAAAGTGCTGGGATTACAGGTGTGAGCCACCACGCTTGACCAACCCTCTGGGATTTTAACTGAGCTGGGATTTACTCTGATTGGCCCTGGCTGGATCGTATGACCATCTCTCAGCCAATTCACTGGCTTGGTCTGGATGATGTTCCTACTTCTGGAGCCAAACCATGGGGTTGAGGCAAATGGAAGAGCCCGTGAAGGCAGAAGACAGCATCCCTGACACCAAGCCCACAGCCCATGGGATGGTGTCCTCCCTACCGGTCCCCCAGGGGAACTGGGTATCGGTTGGGCGTGGGACATGACAGTCACAGAGGGCCTGCCTAGGCCCCGGGATGCTGTCCTCACAGGCTTCTCTGTGCTGTCTTGTTCTTGGCCCAGACCCAGCCCGTAGTGGAGAGCCTCGGCTTCCAGGGTGGCCGTCTGCAGCGCGTGGAGGTGACCTGGCGAGGCTCCCACCCTGAAGCCCTGGAGGTGCACGTGGGTAAGGTGCAACCTAGACCAGTGTTCCTTCCATGGGTGGCCCCACTGCCATGAGGAGTCCGCCTGGCAAACAGACCCGCCAGGATTGGGATCTCCGTCTCTCAAGTCCTGGGTTCCGTGGTCCATCTCCCAGGGATCGGTGGTCCATCCCCTGAGGCTCCGTGGCCCATCCCCCAAGGTTCCGTGGTCCATCTCCCAGCGTTCTGCAGTTCATCTCCCAGGGTTCCATGGTCCATATCCCAGGGTTCCATAGTCTATTTCTCAGGGTTCCGTGATCCATCTCCCAGGGATCTGTGGTCCATGTCTCAGGGTTCTGTGGTCCATATCCCAGGGATTTGTTGTCCATTTCTCAGAGTTCCATGGCCCATATCCCAGGGTTCCATGGTCCCTCTCTAAACGTTCTGCGGTCCACCTTCCAGGGTTCCATAGTCTATCTCTCAGGGTTCCGTGGTCCCTCTAAGCCTGTGGCGTTCCAGTGTCTCTGCCCTGCCTCACCAGCACCCATCTACAAAGACCCTCCTGAGTTTTATGAGCAAAAGTTGCATTTTTTTTCCCAGAGTTGTTTGCATAATCTCCCTTTACAAAATCCTTTCACAAACTCTATGTTAAAAAGAGTCGTGGGACCAAAGCGTTTTTTTTTTTTTTCTGCTCTGCAAGCATGCCACAGTGTTTCGCGGTTACCACCTAAACTCTGCTTTTATTTTACTACACCATAGTTTTGATATAATCCGTGGCACAAATCTCAGTGTATAAAAAGCAAAGCAACCTTGTAATCATTTAACTATAAGTAACACAGGTCTGCCCCTGGCCATCTCTTCCCACAGCCCATCTCCCAGGGTTCCGTGGTCCCTCTCTCAGCGTTCTGTGGCCCATCTCCCAGGGTTCTGTGGTCCCTTTCTCAGCGTTCTGTGGCCCATCTCCCAGGGTTCCGTGGTTCCTTCCCAAGGTTCTATGGCCCATCTCCCAGGACTCTGATCTCCATTCCAGGACTCCATGCCCCAGGTCCTGACCTCCTCCCTCCTGGTCATGGCTATTTTGACCTCTTGGCAAAGACATGGTGGTGACTGAGTGGTAGGTGATCTCTCAGACCCTGTAGGTCCCCTGGACAAGGTGAGGAAGGCCAAGATCCGGGTCAAGACCAGCAGCAAGGCCAAGGTGGAGTCTGAAGAGCCGCAGGACAATGACTTCCTCAGCTGCATGTCCCGGTGGGTGGCAGGACCCTGGGGGTGGAAGGGGGCGGGACTGGAGGTGTGGGTCTCCCTGGACCCAGCCCAGGGAACTGAATGGTGCCTGCGGGTGGGGCAGGCGCTCGGGACTGCCTCGATGGGTCCTGGCCTGCTGCCTCTTCCTGTCCGTGCTGGTGATGCTGTGGCTGAGCTGCTCCACCGTGGTGACTGCGCCTGGCCAGTACCTCAAGTTCCAGGTGGGTGTGATCCGTGAACGGTGCTGGGCTGAGGGGGAGGGTGGAGGCAGAGAGAGCTGCTTGCTGGTCCTGGATTTGGCCTCCTGCTCCCATGGAGGTCAGGACCTCAGGCTGTTTTTTCCGTATATATATATATACATAATTTTTTTTTTTTTTTTTGAGATGGAGTTTCACTCATGTTACCCAGGCTGGAGTGCAATGGCGCGATCTCGGCTCACCGCAACCTCCGCCTCCTGGGTTCAGGCAATTCTCCTGCCTCAGCCTCCCGAGTAGCTGGGACTACAGGCACGCGCCACCATGCCCAGCTAATTTTTTGTATTTTTAGTAGAGACGGGGTTTCACCATGTTGACCAGGATGGTCTCGATCTCTTGACCTCATGATCCACCCGCCTCGGCCTCCCAAAGTGCTGGGATTACAGGCTTGAGCCACCGTGCCTGGCCCCCTATATACATAATTTTTTAAAATTTTGAGACAGGGTCTCACTCTTTCACCCAGGCTGGAGTGCAGTGGTGCGATCACGGCTCACTGCAGCCTCGGCCTCCCTGGCTCAAGGGATCCTCCTGCCTCAGCCTCCTGAATAGCTGGAGCCACAGGCACGTGCCACCATGCCCAGTTAAATTTTGTATTCTTTGTAGAGATGGGAGTCTTGCTATGTTGCCCAGGCTGGTCTTGAACTCCTGGGCTCAAGCGATCCATCCGTCTTGCCCTCCCAAAGTGCTGTGATTACAGGCGTGAGCCACGGCACTTGGCCAGGACGTCAGACTTGCTGCGTGACTTGGGGCCAGTTTCTTCACTGGCCTTTGAATTGGTGGGAAGAACATCCACTGTTAGCTGGGGCACCATGAAGTCAGAGGTGGCCTCACCTCTGTGGTGCCCAGAGCCTGGGCAACATAGTGAAACCTCGTCTGTACAAATCTTTCAAAATTAGCCTGGCCGGGCGAGGTGGCTCACGCCTGTAATCCCAGCACTTTGGGAGGCTGAGGCGGGTGAATCACAAGGTCAAGAGATCGAGACCAGCCTGGCCAACATGGTGAAACCCCATCTCTACTAAAAATACAAAAAATAGCTGGGCATGGTGGCTTGTGCCTGTAATCCCAGCTGCTGGGGAGGCTGAGGCAGGAGAATTGCTTGAACCCAGGAGTCGAAAGTCGCAGTGAGCTGAGATCGAACAGCTGCACTCCTGCCTGGGTGACAGGGCCAGACTACGTCTCAAAAAAAGAAAAAAAAATTAGCTGGACGTGAAGGTGCATGTCTATGATCGCAGCTACTTGGGAAGCTGAGTGGGAGGATCACTCGAACCCGGGAGTTCGAGGCTGCAGTGAGCTGTGATGGTGCACTCAAACTTGGACAACAGAGCGAGACCCCATCTCAGAACAAAAGGACCGGTGTGGTGGCTCACACCTGGAGTCCCAGCACTTTGGGAGGCTGAGGCGGGCAGATCACTTGAGGTCAGAAGTTCGAGACCAGCCTGACCAACATGGTGAAACCCCGTCTCTACTAATAGTACAAAAATTAGCCAGGTGTGGTGGTGGGCACGTGTAGTCCCAGCTACTTGGGAGGCTGAGGCAGGAGAATCGCTTGAACCTGAGAGGCGGAGGTTACGGGTGAGCCGAGATTGCGCCACTGCACTCCAGCCTGGGTAACAAGAGCGAAACGACTTTGGGAGGCTGAGGCGGGTGGATCACTTGAGGTCAGGAGATCGAGACCAGCCTGGCCACCATGGTGAAACCCTGTCTCTACTAAAAATACAAAAATTAGCTGGGCATGGTGGCACGTGCCTGCAGTCCCAGCTACTCGGGAGGCTGAGAAAGGAGAATCGCTTGAACCCAGGAGTTGGAGATTGCAGTGAGCCGAGATCACACCACTATGCTCCAGCCTGGGCAACAGGGAGAGACTCCGTCTCAGAAAAAAAAAAAAAATCAGAGATGGGAAGGAGACTCTTGTCAGGGTTGGGTGCTCAGCCGCACTCCTGCCCTCCACTCCCTCCTCCCCTCTCTTCCCGCAGCCTCTGACCCTGGAGCAGCACAAGGGTTTCATGATCGAGCCGGACTGGCCCCTGTACCCTCCGCCGTCGCATGCCTGTGAGGACAGCCCGCCACCCTACAAGCTGAAGCTGGACCTGACCAAGCTGTAGCCTCCGCTGGCCCCATCATTGCCAATCGCAGGGGCCCCCGGGCCTCACTTGCCCTGAGCCCAGGAGTCCAAGGCCAGGGTGGGACCAGCCTTGGCCTCCTCCACCCCCAAATCCTTCCTCTCCTCCCAGTCCCGCCCCTGGCCCCACGGAGTCCCTGGGGACACAGTGCCCCAGCTGGGAGGAGGGCGGGATGGGGCGCTGGTTCCTCCTTGTGCCCACTTTCTCGGGGGCTTGCTACTTTTTGTCTTCTATTGTGTGGCTTTCTGAGTGTTTGAACCCCAGTCCCGTGTCGCCTTCCTTTTCCCTTCTCTCTCCCCTCTCTGCAGGGGCTGAGGCCGAGGGGGAGCTGCATCTTGCTAGGGCTTCCCCCTTCTCTCCATCTTGGTCTCCGGAGACCCAGCTTCCGAGATGGGGCGTGGGCAGCTCCATCCCCAACAGAGTGTCCCTGGGGCTCGTCCAGGGCTGGGGAGAAATAAACCGTGTATATAAAAGAGTGTCAGGCTGAGCCTGTTCTGCTCCGTTCAGTTGTCTGCCTGCCCTTGGGGTGTGGCACACGCATGGCCAGGACCCCTGCCCAGCAGGCCCTTTCTGACCCGGGAAAGCCCTGGAAACCCTGGTGGCACCAGGGACTCAAAGTAGCTGCCTCTCGGAAGGACACTCCCTCTGCTCCAGCCCAGCCCCCACTCCCCGCTAGAGAGGTCCCTGCAAAGGTGGCTTGTGGCCAGTGGCGGAGGTTCATGCCTGTAATGCCAGCACTTTAGGAGACCAAGGCGGGAGAATCACTGGAACCTCGAAGCTGGGACTACAGCTCATGTCGCCACGCCCGGATAATTTGATTGATTTATTTACTTTTTATTTTTTTAGAGACTGGGTTTAACCATGTTGGTCAGGCTGGTCTGGAACTCCTGACCTCGTGATCCACCCGCCTCAGCCTCTCAAAGTGCTGGGATAACAGGCATCAGCCCATGTGCCCGGCCCAGTCCACTTTCTTTTGGGAATGGAGCTCTGGCCCACTGGGGAGCGTCTCAGGGCATTGCGCAGGGGTCCTCTCATCCTCCCCATCCAAGGAGACCAAACGTAGCCTTCTTTCCTTGAACTTTATGTTGGAGAGGATCCTGCAGGAAGGGAGCCACGCCCTGCCGTTCCTGTCTGTTCCACAGACTCCTCCAGATTCTTCTCGTAACTCCCCTTTGAGATTCAGTTGACTTGAGCTGGTTTCTGTTGCTTGAAACCAGAGATTGCTGGCTGATACAGGGCCTCCTCCCCTGGGCAGAGCTTGGGATCGGGGCATGAGGGCCCCAGGCAATGGGGTGGAGATTCCCAGGGATTCCAGGCTGATGTAGTGACAGCGGGTTGGCAGGCTGGGCAGCAAGTTAGATGATGCCTAGTAGGGCTGTGTGTAAGACCCTCCAACCTGCCACCCCACCCTGGATTTGGGAAGGTTGGTCCACTTGGGTCCTCTTCTCTCCACTGGAGTCAGTCACGGGGACCACTGGCAGGAGATGAGATGAGGGAAGAGTCAAGGTCTTTCCTGGTCTTCCCAGCGGCCCTTGACCCAAGACCACAGCTCGACCAGGCGGCCTTCCTTGGGGATCTTCAAGATCTTTGGAGGGCCTGGCACAGTGGCTCACACCTGTAATCCCAGCACTTTGGGAGGCCAAGGAGGGCAGATCACCTGAGGTCAGGAGTTCAAGACTAGCCTGGCCAACGTGATGAAATCCCATCTCTACAAAAATTAGGCTTGGTGGCTCGTGCCTGTAATCCCAGCACTTTGGGAGGCTGAGGTGGGCGCATCACCTGCATTCAGGAGTTTGAGACCAGCCTAGGAGAAATGGTGAAACCCTGTCTCTACTAAAATACAAAAAGGCAGCCAGGCGTGGCAGCGTGCACCTGTAGTCCTAGCTACTCAGGTGGCTGAGATAGGAGAATTGCTTAAACTCGGGAGGTGGAGGTTGCAAGTGAGCCGAAAGCCGAAATCACACCACTGGACTCTAGCCTGGGCAACAGAGTCGTATTTAAAATTGTGTTTATTTTTTTCATCTAAAAAAAAAATAATTTTTTTTTTTTTTTTTTGAGACGGAGTTTCGCTCTTGTTACCCAGGCTGGAGTGCAATGGTGCGATCTCGGCTCACCGCAACCTCCGCCTCCTGGGTTCAGGCAATTCTCCTGCCTCAGCCTCCTGAGTAGCTGGGATTACAGGCGCGCGCCACCATGCCCAGCTAATGTTTTGTATTTTTAGTAGAGACGGGGTTTCATCATGTTGACCAGGATGGTCTCGATCTCTTGACCTCGTGATCCACCCGCCTCGGCCTCCCAAAGTGCTGGGATTACAGGCTTGAGCCACTGCGCCCGGCCAAAAAAATAATAATTTAAAAATAATAATAAATTTAAAATGATAACGGTAATAGCTCTTTTGGGCCAGGTGGGATGGCTCACACCTGTAATCCGAGCACTTTTGTAGGCTCGGGTAGGAGGATCAGGAGCTTCTTGAGTCCAGGAGTTCCAGTGAGCTGTGACTGTGCCTGGGTGACAGAGTAAGACCGTGACTCAAAAAATATGTATAGCCCCTTTATTTATTTATTTAGAGATGGAATCTCTCTCTGTTGCACAGGCTGGAGTGCAATGGTGCGGTCTTGGCTCATGGCAACCTCGACCCTCTGGGTTCAAGTGATTTTCCTGCCTCAGCCTCCTGCGTAGCTAGGATTACAAGTGCACACCCCCATATCTGGCTAATTTTTTTATTTTTAGTAAAGACAGTGTTTCACCATGTTGGCCAGGCTGGTCTTGAACTCCTGACCTCAGGTAGTCAGCCCGCCTTGGCCTTCCAACCACTTTATTTATTATTTATTTACTTATGTAGAGACAGAGTCCCATTCTGACGTCTAGGCTGGAGTGCAGTGTCGGGATCTCGGCTCACTGCAAACTCCGCCTCCCAGGTTTAAGTGATTCTCCCGCCTCAGCCTCCCAAGTAGCTGGGATTACAGATGCAAACCACCATACCTGGGCTGCTGTGTTGGCCAGGCTGGTCTCGAACTCCTGATCCCAAGTGATCCGCCTGGTACCATGACCATCGGGATTCAACTCAGATGTAACATGGGCCCCAGGGAGTATCATTCTGGGCCCTGTGTGGGATTTGAGGACAACCTCTAGGAATGTAGCCCAGGAAATAAGAAGTGGGCAGAGGTGAGAAGAGAATGGCAGCCAGCCGTTCTCTTTGGTGGAACTTTCTTTGATGATAGAAATGTTATGTCTGCACCACTCCCAGCCACCTCTAAGTAACTGAGCACGTGCAGCATGGCTAGTGTAACTGACAAATTGTGTTTCTTTTTTTTTTTTTTTTTTTTTGAGATGGAGTTTCCCTCTTGTCACCCAGACTGGAGTGCAATGGTGCGGTCTCGGCTCACTGCAACCTCCACCCTCCGGGTTCAAGTGATTTTCCTGCCTCTGCCTTCCAAGTAGCTGGGATTACAGGTGCCCACCACCACATCCAGCCGATTTTTTTAGTGGAAACGAGGTTTTGCTCGAACTCCTGACCTCAGGAGATCCACCCGCCTTGGCCTCCCAAAGTGCTGGGATTACAGGCGTGAGCCACCGAGCCTTCCCCGAATTTACTTTATTTAGTTTGAGTTGATGTACGTGTAAGATTTTTCCAGGTGGGCACTGTGGCTGACAGTTGTAATCCCAGCACTTTGGCCGGCTGAAGCAGGAGGATCACTTGAACCCAACAGTTCGAGACCAGCCTGGGCAACATGGTGAGGTACCTGCCTTTTTTTTTTTTTTTTTTGAGATGGAGTCTCACTCTGCTGCCCAGCCTGGAATGCAGTGGCGCGATTTTGGCTCACTGCAACCTCCACTTCCCAGGTTCAAGCAATTCTCCTGCCTCTGCCTCTTGAATAGCTGAGATTACAGGCATGTTCCACTACGCCTGGCTAATTTTTCTATTTTTAGTAGAGATGAGGCTCTGCCATGTTGGCCAGGCTGGTCTCAAACTCCTGACCTCAGGTGATCCACCTGCCTCAGACTCTGAAAGTGCTGTGATTACAGTGTGAGCCACAGTGCCTGGCCAAGGCACCCGTCTTTTTTATTTTATCTTATTTATTTTTATTATTACTATTTTTTGAGATGGAGTCTCACTGTGTTGCCCAGGCTGGAGTGCAATGGCGTGATCTCGGCTCACTGCAACCTCTGCCTCCCAGGTTCAAGTGATTCTCCTGCCTCAGCCTCCTGAGTAGCTGGGATTACAGGCATGGGCCACCACACCAGGCTAATTTTGGTATTTTTAGTAGAGACGGAATTTCACCATATTGGTCAGGCTGGTCTTGAACTCCTGACCTCGTGATCCCCCTGCCTCAGCCTCCCAAAGTGCTGAGATTACAGCTTGAGGCTCCGTGCCCAGCCAAGGCACCCATCTTTATTTAAAAAAAAAAAAAGGCCAGTTCTGGGTGTGTGTGCCTCTAGTCCCAGCTATTTAGGTGGCTGAAGTGGGAGGATTGCTTGAGACTAGCTTGGGCAACACAGCAAGACGCTCTCTCTAAAACAATCTTTTAGTCCAGGTGCAGGCAACAAGTGAAGCCTTATCTCTACACCCCCAAAAAATATATATATATACACACACACACATATGTATGTATATACACATATATACATGTATATATACACAAATTTAGCCAGGTATTGTGGTGGGTGCCTGTAGTCCCAGCTACTCCGCGAACCTTGGAGGGTTAAGGCAGAAGAACTGCTTGAGCTCCGGGAGATTGAGGCTGCAGTGAGCCGAGATCGCACCACTGCACTCCAGCCTGGGTGACAGAGTAAGATCCTGTCTCTGACGTGACATCACGCCAGGCTAATTTTTAAATTTTTTTTGTTTTGTTTGGAGACAGAGTCTCTCTGTTCCCCAGGCTGGAGTGCAGTGGCGTGATCTCAGCTCACCGCAACCTCCGCCTCCTGGGTTCAAGTGATTCTCGTGCCTGAGATTCCCGAGTTGCCGGTGTTCCAGGCGCCCCTCATCACGTATGGCTAATACTTTATATTTTTAGTAGAGACCGGGTTTCGCCATGTTTGCCAGGCTGGTCTTGAACTCCTGACCTCAGGCAGTCTGCCTACCTCGGCCTTCCAAAGTGCTGGGATTACAGGCGTGAGCCACCTCGCCTAGTCAAAATTTGCCATTTTCATGAGTTTTGAGTGCATCAATTGCATCCACAGTGGTGTGCTGCCATCCTGTCATGGATTTGTTTTATTTTTTTATTGCTATTATGTTTGAGACTGAGTCTTGCTCTGTCCCTCAGGCTGGAGTACCGTGGTGCGATCTCGGCTCACTGCAACCTCCGCCTCCCAGGTTCAAGTGATTCTTCTGCCTCAGCCTCCCGAGTAGCTGGGATTATAGGCACGCACCACCACGCCCAGCTAATTTTTGTATTTTTAGTAGAGACGGGGTTGGCCAGGCTGGTCTCAAACTCCTCCCCTCAAGTAATCTGCCTGCCTCAGCCTCCCAAAG